GGACAGTAATTCGGTTCTTGGTGGTCTTTATGTGATGGGTGAAGGCAAGACTTGGCTTTTCCATTTGTCAGATGTTGGATGCAGTCTTTCTTTTGCAAAACAAAGATGATAATATCTCCCTCATCAGACCAAGAACTAGATGTAAAAGCTATTTCATAATTCCTGACATATTTATTTAATTTTGTGTGTAAAATATTTGGGTGTTTTAATGGTGTATTAAGAGAGAGAGTTTTAAACACTTTTCAGAATGTTTTCGAGAAATTGTTTAAGTTCTAAATCTATAACTGTTTCTCTTTGCATTATAACAGGAAAGAATGTTTCCTTTTAGTTGTCTGTATCTCACTCTTTATTGAATTGTCATAGAATATTTGCATTGGACAGACTTCAGTGGTCAGTGGTCTTCTAATATAAATTTTTTATGCAGTGCAGTGATCTTTTCTATACTTTTCCTGACAAGTTGTTTATTCAGTCTCAATTTGAATGCTTCAGTGATGAGGAACTCACTACCTCAGAATGTATCTGTTCCATTTTGTGGGCACCTCTTAGGCACAGAATTCTGTTTTCTCCTCTGTTAACCTCTACCCAGTATACATAGTTCTCCTTTTATAGCTGCGTATAGTGACCATGGAAGAGTCCTTCAGAGATTTGAATATAGCTAAACATTGCCAGTTTTCTTAAGAGCTCATTTTATGACCTCATTTCCCTGATTTCCAGACGGCCTTCCTTGATCCGGTTATCTTCTTCTGGACCCCTCTTTGCATTTTTCATTTCATTGTCAGTCTTAAAATGAGCAAGCCTAGAATGGACACAATATTATCATTATCTTACCATCTAGAATACAACAAAGCTCTATTGAAATAGCCCAAGATTCCATTAGGAGTTTTTCTTCTTTTTTTCTCAATAGCCATGTCAAATATGTGTCACATGGCATCATATAGTATATTAGTAAAAACAGGCTAAGCTGGAAGCCGGTTGACCTATCTTTACTCAGGATCTAAAATTGTGTGAACTACTAGCTGTGTGATTTCCTTTCCTTTAAGTTGAGAGGGTGGACTAGATGTCTCCAAGTTTCCTTCTATTGCAGTAGTGCTTGGAAACTACTTTGAGCAGGTAATTGAATATTCACAACCTTGATTGGTATATATAATAAAGGGCATTCTTTTCTATTTTTCTAAATTAATATTTTGATGGGTAAATTTGCATACATTTATTTATTAAATTAAATTTGCAATCTAAAGGGATACTGTGGGAGCTAGAAAGACTAATTTTGTTTTTCTTTGAGAGTTTTGGAGAACTTAAACTTTGATGAGAACAACATTAATAATTCTAAATTGCTTTGTAAATGAGGTGCCATCATAAATCACAATCATAAACTTGATTCATTGTACTTTTTAACATTTTAGAGCAAAACCCCATGATAGAATCTGATTAAAACAAATTCAGATTGCAAATATCTCATCTTTTAATATCTTAATGAAAGAGACCTAACTTTTTAAATTGGTATGGGCTAATGAGTCACATGGTAAGTATTGATATATCTAATTAATAAACCTTGATAAATTGGAACTCATGACCTTTCATCTGCCACAAACTTGCTTTCTTTCAATATTTTATTAACTTTGATATCCCATACTTTTGCAAAATAAAAATTAGGATCGTAATCTTGTTTTTTCTGAAGAGCATACATTTTGAAGCATACAAACATATAATTTTAACAAGTGGTGAGTTACAAAGTTATCTTTATAAATCATTTTTATTAATTTTAAGATGTTAGTGTTTTAGAGTTTATTTTTCTTCAGTAACTTAGAAGAAAATATGTAAAAGCTAACAGTTCATTTTTGACTGTTCTGAAAAAACTTTACATTGTTCCTGTTTTTTAACATGTTGGGTAAGTTTTTTCCACCCCTCCCCCAATTGAAGCAAGGTTTCACAGGACTTCTTGTGGTTAGAAGGGTGAGGCAGATGCAGAAATAAACGTCAGCTTCCTTTGTGGCTCACCCTCCCCCCTCCTTTCACATTTTATTGTCTATTCTAGAATGTAGAAGGGTAACTAACTAGACCTTTTAACTGCTGGGAAATCTAGTCAGCCTTTCCCTTTAAGGTATGAATTAAGTACTGTTGTTAAGGGTTTTACATTTTCTTAAATGTTTCTGTCAAATTTGATGTAGGAACATTATGTATTAAATATTATTTTTGATATTTCTAAACAACAATTAGCATTTTTAAATAGAAAACAAATGCTTGCTTTTTTTCCCCTAAGTCATCTGATAATTATGGCAAAATATTTACCTTATTTAACAGGACATAAATGAATATTCAAATCACAAATAAGTTTTAAAAATATAAATGTGTTAAGTACTGTATACAAATAGCACAATACGTGATACTGTAGTAGGTGCATAACTCTTGCATTCATTCAACAGATATTTCAGTTCCTGTTGTGTATTAGCAAGGTGTAGATTTTATAAATACTGTAGTGATTAGGACAGACAGTTTCTGCCCTAATGGAGCATCTACTTATGGTGAACATTGGCAAATAATTACATATATCATTTGGTCACCTTTGCTCTGGATTAATGAGTACTATACTTGGAAGACTTTTGAGAATACCTGAAACAAATAAAAGTATTATTACTTAATTATTTAATTTTGCTCTTTGTTACTGAGAAAATTCTGGCTTGTAGATGCAATCATAAAATTATAGCAGAACTTGTCACAATTGGTGCCATAAACTTTTTCAGACGGACAGATTTCTTGGCTAACTAGTTTCTGTTTCCTAAGTTTTTACAAGATGAATTTCTTCATAAAACTCAAAATTTCCTTTCTGTTTTAGACAAATTTTCACTTCTAAATGTAAGTAAGAATTGGCAGAAGTGAGTTTACTTTAAAAGCAACTGTCTTAAAGGAGGAATTTTTCCGTGGTCAGAACAGAAAGCTAGGACTTCACATTCCACAGGTTAAGCCGTGGCACTCCATTTCCATGTATGACCTTTCATGAGTTACTCGGTCTTAGTCAGCCTTCATTTATCCAGCATAAAATCTGTAAAACATGGGCAGTTTGAACATAAAGTAAAAGGACTGATTGACATTTTTTGTGTACTCATTAAAATACATTGATTTGTATTCTTTACACATGCAGTAAGAAAGTGTCTTATAGTTTAAACATTCTCAAATCTCAGATGAAAAGTTTTATCAAAGAATCAGATTTGTGCATGCAAATTTTCTGAGTTGCTATTTATTTGATAAATTATATAAAAGTCAAATTATACCTTGACCTACTTTTTTTTTTTTTTGGTATTAGTAGCTATACCTTTTCAGCTTGGTTTCCAGTGCTTCTCTTTGGCACCAATCTTGAGGAGGTTTGGGAAGTAAACAGTAGGGATCTTTGTTATCCTGCCCCTGAGAATAGCAATTAAAAATGTAATCAAGCAATTAATTTTGTCCCCCACTCCCACCCCAAATCCCAAGTATGTTAAAAATATTTTTTGTTTGTTTGTTTGCTAAGCACCCTGATAGGTTGTATTGAAATATTTTCTAAGGGGATTTGAGACAAGAGGAGTTGTGGAACTAATTTACTCTCTGAAGTTCCTTTATTTATACCTGATTTGTTAATATCTAGACAGTAATTTGAGTCTTAGGATGGAAGTCTTAATTTTGGATCCCCTGGATCAAACTTAGGAAGTTTATGGATGGTCTTCGAAATCTGAAAACCCTCTGCAATTATACGTAAACCTTTCTATTTAAGGACATGTATATGTTTTTCTGGATAGGCAGTCAATGGCTTTCATTAGTTTCTTAAAATAGTCTGGCTCAAAATAGCTTAGGTCTTTGGGAAACTAGATTTGGGGTGACTATAGACTTAGAATACACACATTTGCCAGAGTCTTTTAAAATTTGGGCTTAGGTGCTGAGCACTATTATTGGAGCGAGCTAAAACGTATTTATTCCTAAAATGATAAGCATGACCTTACTGGTTGTGTCTGTTCATAGAGATGTTCATAACCGTTAATTTTCTTAGTTAATCATGAGGTGTCTTTGGATACTCTTCATAGTACAAGTATACCTTTGGTGTCTGTTACAAGCTTCATAGACTGCTGAGCAATACTGAGAGACTGGTAAAACAATTGACAAATGGCGCTACAAAGCTTCAAAGCTTGTTAAAAGTGATGTTGAAAGGCAAAGTGATTACACTAATAAAATAAGTCACATACCCATTTTTGCATTCATTTTAATTTTTTGCATTTGAAGGAAAGCTAAAATTTTGATTAGAGGGTTAATGTGATAACCTATTAAGGATACAGTCTTTGGAAATAGACCAATATATATATTCTCTCTGCCATCTGCAGAACAGAATAATATTTATAATAAAGGATTGTTGTGATACTTAAACACAATCATTTCTGTCGAGTGTGGCATGGAGTTGGTAGGCAAGTGAGATCTCCCCCTACAATGGTAATGTATCATATTAATAGTGAAGAATAAATATAATTCTGTTATATCTTGTTATTATATTTGACACTTATATTTTTAAGTCATAGAACTATAAATTTTATAAAAGAACATGCAGTATTTGATTCAGTTAAGAGAACAAAGATACATTCCTAATGGCATGAATATTTGAAAGCACTGACTTCTAAGTCAGAGGCATAAAAGTGTCTGTATTATACTAATATTCTCCTCTATGGAAAAGTTAAAGTTGATTGTCCTCATTTTTCCCCCCAGAGGAAAATTTGCTGTGGTTAGACAATGTATATCAAAATCTACTGGCCAAGAATATGCTGCAAAATTTCTGAAAAAGAGAAGAAGAGGACAGGACTGTCGAGGAGAGATTCTGCATGAGATTGCGGTACTTGAATTGACAAAGTCTTGTCCCCACGTGATTAATCTTCATGAAGTCTATGAAAATGCAAGTGAAATCATTCTGGTATTGGAATAGTAAGTATAAACTTTAAAAACTTGATGTCAATTTATAGTACTTACTTTAATTGGTGGGACAAGGTAGTTTAAAATGTCAAGAACAAGAGTGATAAAAGTACGATAAAAACTTCTAAAGATTCCTGTTGATAAACTGTTCAAGGGACACAGTATATATTCAAATATTTTTCACAGAGCTTAATGTGCAGCCTCACATACATACCCAAAAACTAATTAAACAGCCAAAATAAACAAATGACAATACAATGTTTGGGTAATGTGGTGAAATAAGTATACTTTCATTGCTAGTAGCACAGAAAATTGAGTTTTTCTGCCAAGCAATCTGATGGGCAAATAAGATTGAAATTATTTGTGTATTTTGTCTGTCTGTTTGAAAAACACATCCCAGGAAGTGACCCAAGGAGAACAGAACAGGTAAGCTTGCATGAATGAAAACCACAGTTTGTTGAAAAGCATATTTATTTAGTGTGTGTGATGTGCGAAACGCTATATTAGGAATTATAGCAATAAAAAATAAAATATAGCTTTTCCCACAAGTCAGTGAAAAGTTAAAAACACCCGAATATCTAACAATTCAAGTGGGGATAGAACATGGTTAAGCTAACTAGTTTGTTAACCAGTATGTTGACATGTTACTCTAAAACAGTGCTTTTCATGTGTTACTCTAAAGTGTGACAGTCTGACACATTTATTATACTTATGTAAAAAATGTGTTTGAACATCTGCAACAATTGGAAGAATGCAGCTAAATTTATGCTTAATACAGTTTAGGTTCTGATAATTTTTTAATAAAGTAAATCTATTTTGTAATAAAGAGAAGTATTTTAGCAAAAAAAAAAAAAGATTATAAATATAGTAATTATTTTTAGTAGCCAACCTGCATTATTGCCTTTTTGAATTTAAAAGTATATTAACCACACTTTAGGGCTCACTTATTTTAAGGGTGAATTTATGTATTTATTTAAAAATCTATGTATTTTTGTACCAGGAAAGTTGATTGCCTGGAGTGAACTTGTAAACAAAAATGCTTGTTTTGCAAAATGCTGAACTGATAAGTAGTTCATTTAAGAATGAATGCTATGTGGCTTTGAGGAGAAAAAAAAAATGTTTGGTGTCAGAAGACTAATGAGTGATTGTCTAGGGCCATGAATGGGGGAGTGTTGACTACAAAGGGGAACAAGGAGACTCCCTAGGGTGATATACACATTCTAGATCTTGGTTGTGGTGGAGGATACACAGCTGTATACAATTGAAAGAACTCATTGAACTTGAAATGGGTACACTAGTTTATGTGATTATAATGCAGTAAAGTTCATTTAACACAAGAGAATGAATGCTGTGTACATTTCCCACAACACCAATTAAGGTGTATTGTAGTACCTTCACAACAAATTTGAATTGCAGAAAAGACCAAGATTCTACCATGGGATTTCATTTTTCATACATTTTGTAATTATTTTTGTCAAATTCTTCAGCTGACCTTTAAAAAGTTATCTACTTGTTTGATATCTGCATGTCTGAAGTATATGAAAAGTAGCTAATGTTTTCAAAAACATTAATTCATGGAATACTAGGTTTGGAGGGTGAATATACATAGGTACATAGACCACTTTCATAAAATCCTCTTTTGGGGGTTCATCTAAATAGCAACAACAAAATACATCAAAAAGTTTTGACACATTTTATGAATGGACCTTGTTCACACTCTGAAAATTAATTCAGATATCCTACCCAGTAAACTGGTATCTGTAAGGGCAGAAAAAAATTGTGAGTGGATTAATATATTTAATTTCTTATCAGAGGAACTGAGACCTAGTAAAATTTATTACTGCGTGTCACTTTTGGGGTGGCATTGTCACATCAGATAATCGCAATTAAAGATAAAAATTTGGTTGGATAGGTTTTAGCTATTTTAATAAGGTGGCCTAACTATGTAGTGAAAATAAATAAAACAGGGAAATCTTTTGCGCTAAGAGCTATTGCCAGTTTGGTATTCTCCTCAAATTATCCTACATACTCATTTTTCTTCCCTGGCTTTTTTATTTTATAAAATTTCAAATCTACAGAGAAGTTGAAAGAATAATGCAAATAACACTATTATACTCTTCAGCTTGATTCACCAATTGTCAAATCCACAATTTTGCCACATTTACCAAACCATTTGAAAGTTGTAGGTATCCTGGTATTTCTTCTTTACAAGCCAAAGTATTTATTATGAAGAGTAAGGGCATTCTTGTACATAACCAGTACCAGTATCAAACCTAAGAAAGTTAATATTAATTCGGTAGTATCATTGAATATGCAGTTCATATTTAAATTTTTTTGATTATCCCTAAAATGCTTTATAAACCTTCTTAAAAAAAATTTAGTACAAGAGCCAATCAAAAGTCACACATTATATTTGGTTGTTAAACCTCTTGAGTCACTTTAGTTTTTCCTGACATTGAGTTTTCGGGGGGAGATCTGTATCAGTTGTCACATGAAGTATTCTACATCCTGGATTTATGTGATTCTTTGCTCATGATTAGATTTAGGTTAAATATTTTTGGCAAGAAGACAATGTGGGTGATGATGGGTATTTCTTATAACATTAGGTGGCAATTACGTTCATATTGCTCCATTATTGGTTTTAGAAACCAGAACATGGCCAAGGTGGAGTCTGTCAGACCTTCCCATTTTAAGGAACTTTCCCAGTTTATAATTAATAAATAATCAGTGTGGTGATATTTTGAGACCCTGTGAATATTCTGTTCTTTACCAGCTGCTGGACATGCTCATTGTTAATAGAGTATTATGTTTCTAGGCCTTTCTGAGGAGATTGTTAGGATCTGGTATTTTTTAAAAATCGTGAGTTCATTCTGATGGCTTCAATTCAGGTCCACCATCACAGGGTCCTTTATCACCTCTCACACCCCAGATTCATGTCTCCCTTCGCCCACAGTGAAAACGCTGATTCTCGACAGTAGTTACTCACTCATGTGCTTTATCCCAGAAAACGTACAAAATAGCTTCACCATGACAATACTAATACCACTTAATAAAAGTTCCTTAATGAAGCTCAGCTTTTTTTGCCATTCTTTTTGTCCTTAGAATATACCCTCTCAGGGTATGCAGTCAGACTAACAGAGTTAGGCACATGTGTTTCTGTTCATACTAAGTCTTAGCATTTGATTTTTAAGTTCTTTATTTTTTTGAAATTGTAAAAAAGATTTACATGATTCAAAACTCAAAGATTTATATAAAGGTATACTACAAAGTCTTTTTTTCAGCTTTATTGTGGTATAATTGACGAAATTGTAATACACTTAAAGTGTACAATATGGCGATTCAATATATGTGTATTGTGAAATGAGTTCTGCAGTCAAGTTAAGTAAGATATCCATCACCTCAAATAGTTACTTTTCTTTTTTCCAGTGAGAATGCTTGCGATCTATTCTCTTGGCAAGTTTCGAGTATACAGTACAGGTAGTAACTGTGTGTACCACAGAGTCTTATTCTCGTTCCTGCCCTTTCCACTCTCTTCCCACTCAGCCTTTATAGGTAACCATATTTATTAATTTCTGGCTTATTCTTTATGTGTTTCTTCTTGCAAATATAAGCAAATTTGCATATATTTATATTTCCCTTTCTTTCTTACAGAAAAAGTAGCATTTTATATGTACCCTTTTGCACCTTGCTTTTTTTTCTGCTTAACATTATATCCTGGAAATCACTCCATAGTCATAATTCATATGCATCTTTCCTCCTCCTCCGCCTCTTCTTCTTCTTCTTCTTCTTCTTCTTCTTCTTCTTCTTCTCCTTCTCCTTCTCCTTCTTCTTCTTCTTCTTCTTTCTCCCCCTCCTCCTCTCCCACTTCCTCTCCCTCTTCCTCTTCCTCTTCTCCTTTTTAAAATGCCTGTGTGGTTCTCTGTTATGTGGTGCACCATGCTTTGTTCAGTCAGTCTTCTATGGATGGCTAGCATTTGTGGAGGTGTAGTTTTAGGGTAAATTCCTGTAAGTGTGATTTGGTAGATCAAGGAGTAAGTACATATGTGTTTGTATTAGATGTCAGATTTCTCTTCATATGAATGGCACATAATCACTTAGAAAAGGCACTTTTTGGAATTGTTTACTTGCTAATTATATGAATCTTACCAAAACTTTCTTTTGGAACTATTACAGCTGTGGGTTCTGATAGCTCTATTTTCACTATTGTGTTTTGTTTTGCCTCCACTTAATCTAAACCAGTTTTTTGAGCCAAATTAAGTTGTTTACTTTTGTGAATGAAACTTAAATTCTTTCAGTCAGCTTATTGGTTTTTAGCAATTACTAAATCTTTCATTTTTATCTTTATACTTAGTCCATAGGAAGATATTTCATTACTGATTATAAAGTCTAAATTATTTTTTAGTCCTTTCTTAAACTGTTTTAAAAGTTGTATAAATACTACTTTCCCAGAGGTAGTATTAGATCTTTTCATAAATTGGGGGAAAATTTTGAGGATAGTCAAGTCATCCCATCCCCACCCTCCAAGAGGCAACAACTTTTCTGTAGTAAGTGTTTGAAAAGCATTTTTTGAGAATTAAATAAAATATATACAAAGATTTTTTTTTAACTTCTGGAAATAAGCTATTATCTAATTGGGCACATTAAGTTTTTAAGGCTGAGTTTTGAAATCACTGAAGTTGATAATAAAGAATACTTACTAAATCTTTGGAAAACATAAGACAAGAACTTTGTCCTAGAAATAGCAAAGTTCAATAGGGGAAATGGCTTATATTTATCGAAGACAACTCTTTGAGATTACATGGGAGAGAAATAATATTTTCTTTTTGTCAAGAAATTACAAGCTTATGTTGCCTATTAAATATCTTTAAGTAAATATTATGGACCCAGTAGAAAATGACGAGGACAGCAAAACATTTTCAACAATAATACATGTTGGGCATTTACATGTTAAGCATTTTATCTGTATTTTCATTTGATTTTTAAAACAATCCTCCAAAAGGGGAGACTGGTATTTACTTCACATATTCTAGGTTAGAGGCAGGAAATACTCAGCCTGGTTTCTTTTTATTCTGAAATTCCTCTGGCTTTCTTTCCCCTCATTAGCATTGGAATGAATATAATTTTAAAAGAGCTTCTTAATATAAAAATTTTAAAACTACTTCACTTTGATCACTAAAAATAATTAATTTAAAAATCTTTAGTATGGCTTTCCAAAGCTCTACGAATAAACCTGTATTTTATGGATAAGGGTGATATTACTTGGTTTTACTGAAAATCTTGGCTCTCTGGTACCCAAGGAAATCCGGCATTTTAGGTAGGAAAGTACTCTGATTTTAATCTTTCATATGGTAACCTTATTGTGCTATGGAAGGTTTTCTAAAGGATGTTCTCTACTTCCCTATAATTTCTATCCTGTGCTTTATTTAGAAAGCTGTAACAGGCAAAGGTAGACCTAAATAGTGGACGGGGTGTCTGCTATCACACCCACTCACACACAGCATGTGCACAGTCCAGAAGCCGATGGACATGAACACTCTAGATTTCTAAATGTGTTGGTTGAGTCCCTTTAGGGGCACACTCTTCAGCAGAGACAGAAAGAGTAGAAACAGCCGAATTTTCCTTCCAGGGCAACGATAATGATATAATGGCTTTTCTGATTACAGAGGTATTTTTTCTTCTCTGCAGGCACTGCTCAGGGTGCCTCGTTTTAACAAAGCGTCTGTAGTCTGGTAGTGCTCGCTGCTGCCATATATGCTTCCAGGTTCTGCTCACTGCTGCAGTCTGCTCTCGTGTTCTCTGCACTTCCCGTCCTCTTACCTCTCCTCATTTTCTATTTACCATAGCTCCACCTGTGTCCCTCTCTTGTGGGAAAAATGGCATTCCTACAAAAGACACTGGTCAGCTTGCCAAACTAAAAGGTGGAGACGGTGTGATTGACTGACAGAGTATTTGTTTGCTCTTTTACTAAAATAAACAAAAAGCCCTTAGAATACTTCTCCTGGTTATAAAAGTAATACCCATTCATTGTGTTAAATTTAACACATTTATGGAAAATAGAAATCATTTGTAAACTGTGGTTACTTTTATGGCATATTCATATATTTTAAAACTATTCGTCATTTTCTGTCTCTGCATATATACATTTACAAACAAAATTGTGATAAACTAAGTGTACTCTATTATAACACTCTTTTTTCACTTAATATATTGTGTGCATTTTTCTATGCATAATACAGTGTTTCTAGAAATGAATTTTAGTTTAGCAAAAACTTAAAATTGCCTTTATAAGCAGAGTTTAACAAGACGCCCCCAAATTCAGAAAAGGTGGATGTTGGCTAGATTTGGAATTAATATTTGTCCACTCATAATAATAATAGTTATTCATGGAATATTTACCATGTGTCAGACATTGTATTAAATACGTACAGATGATCTGCTGTGATCCTTATAAGAATCATCTGTTGTACTCAGCACTTTACATGGCTTATCTAATTCAGTTTTTACAGCAGTCCAGTGAAGTAGGAGCTGTCATTTTCATTATGTATCATTATGTGACAGCAGAAGAAATAGAAGCACATTTTGTCTCAGTTCGGGTAGCTAGTGAGTGAGTGGCCGAGTCAGGACTGATTTCTGTTGGCACCTTCTCTAAGCACCCTGTTGTCCTCTCTCCCGTCTGGGCAATGGGAAGTGCTTTACATACTTTTTCTCAGTTTGTTTTCTTATATTTTGTTTTGAATTTTAGAATTAGTAGAAGGGTCTGGCTATTGAATTAAGTTTAGTGAACATAATGTAAATGTGGGTACCCAAATAATTATAAAGTATTCAAGAATGAATTTCTCACCTAAGCAGTTTATGTTACCATACTGCCGAATACTGAAGAACTCAGATCTTTCTAGTGTTTTCCATATTTTTTTTGTATTTGCCATGTCTTAATAGTGAATATAAATCCATATTTTGGACAATTGTCTTATAATTTCAAATTATTTGGTCTGATTTCTTATCTGATGTATCTTATAAAGTGCCTAGCAAAGAACTCATTCTAAGAGAATCTAAAATATCATCTCTTCATTTTCTTGTTTGCTTACAATTACATTAGTAATATTATCTGCAGTATCTTTGCAGGAGTATATTTAGACCACTTTCTATTTTGAGAGGATCCATCTCATTAAAACTAAACAACATAATCAGAAAGGGAAGCAGTGGGGTGTCACTGGCAGCCTGGCCTGGGGAGTCAGTCCCTCTTACCTCAGGGGACCTTGAGCAGAGCTGCAGCAAGTAAACATCTGATGTGTAACTGAGGGGCCACTGAGGCAGTCTGAATGATAACTATTCATAAAGGTTAGCTTACTTCTTTTTAGATGAATGTGAATTTCTAGTACTTTCTTCCAATACCTGCTTTTGAGCTCACTACTACAAATTTGATAGCAAACTAAATTTTTCATACTCAGTTTATCTTTACCTTTATGATACCTTGAGACAAATATGAAAGTTAATTTCTTATGAATTTCCTGGGAGTTTGTGGGGCTGGAGCGGTGAAGTGTGAAGTGTACATGATTGGAGGCTTCACACATAGGCCTTAGCAGCTGTCACACAGCTTTCTCTGGAATATTATAAAGTGTAAATGCTTCTTCCTCCTGACAATCAGCAAGACTTCTGACTTCTGAATTTCAGTCTCAGCTGTTCTAAAGAATGACTGCCTATTCCATCACTCATTCATTCAACTAACTGAATAACTTTTACACATCAGAAACTGTTTTCGATGCTGTGGATACAGCAGTGAACCAAAGGGGTTGAAATAGTATTTTGTAGAATAAATGAGTGTCTGTTTTGTCACACAGAATATGCTTTACTTGAGATATTCCCAAACATACCTTATAAATTTGATTAATAACCATCTAGATTTTTTGAATGATGTTCTGATAAATTTTATCTTGTTTATTTATATTTAGTCCTCAAAAATAATCTGGTGAGTTTCATGATATCTCTGTTTTACAGATGAGGAAGCTCAAATAAGTGATTGACCCTAAGTTATATTGCTGGTAAATAGCAGATTTAGGATTTAAGTTTAGATCATTTGATTCCAAACCTGGAATTTTTCATATGTCTTTGTCAACATTCTTTAGATTTTCAGTTCCTAAAAAAAGAGAAAAAAAATTTTAGGGTTCTGTCCCCAAGTATTCTTAGTAAAGCTGCAGTACAGGATACTAATTAAGAATGCAGATTCTTATGCATATTATACAGATTCAGATTCGGCCATCCCCCAACCCTATGTGACCTTGTACAAGTAACGCAACCTCTTTGTACTTGTTTCATCTCTAAGATGGGAATGATAACCACCTCCCTTACATGATTGTCATGAGGATCAAAATAGGTGAGATCTATATCTATATATAAGGAATAAATGAATAAAATAGAGCAGAGCTGAGCTCATAGTGTTCGCTATTTTTATTGCAGCATTAAGGCAATTATTATTGAATTATAAAGCAATTCAATTTTATTTACTATTGAATATTCATTTTCTATCACTCAGAATTTGAAATATTCTTACCATTTTTTTTATTCCTTAAAAGATCCCTCCCAGCCCCCTCCTAGATCCTCCTTAAATGTGTGTGTAGAAAGAGGAGAAAGTTTAGGTGGCTGGGTGTCCTTTACTTAACAAGTAGACAGTATTTAAAAGTGGTCATTTTTAGATCAATGATTTTTCAAATTTCTGTTATTTGAATTTTGTTTCAGTGCTGCAGGTGGAGAAATTTTCAATTTGTGTTTACCTGAGTTGGCTGAAATGGTCTCTGAAAATGACATTATCAGACTCATTAAACAAATACTTGAAGGAGTTTATTATCTACATCAGAATAACATCGTACACCTTGATTTAAAGGTAACGTAACATGTGATTTTAAGTAGCACTGCACCTCTGTTCTTTCTCTGCTCTCGGGTTGCACAGTTGGGAGCTGGTATTGATAGGAAACGACAGTTGGGTCATGCTCAGCTAGACTGCACACGTGCTACACGGACTTAATTTTGTGTTGGCAGAGAGAAGGCTGCATGTGTGAGCAGCTCAAATTAATCACTAGGCTCTTAAAACCCCTCATTACTGTGTGTTCTAATCCTACAAATATGCCACTCCATCCCACTCTTACTGCCACATCCCGGACTTTCTTTCTTACAGAACTATCTCCAAAATACTTAATTCTGATCTCCGTCTTGAAGATAACCTACTCGTCCTTGTTCCTCTGCTCCCATTGTATGCATCATCTTTCTCTTGAGGCTTTTTCAGTCTTTTGGCTTCTCCTTTTTCCCTCCCAGACCCTTCCCCAAGCCCTGAGATACCACTTCCATCTCTCATGTTACTATCCTTTCTCTTTATCCTTCCTCTGCAGCCATACAGGGACCCTAAAATCTGAGTCATGCTGTCTCTTATTCTTTGAACATTGGACTCTTCTCTTCCTGGGCTATCTCCTTTCATATACTAGAACCATCACACTGTACTGAAATATTTTCTGGTTCTGCATTTTTATTCCTTCATGCCTTCTTTTGTGCTGTTCCCTGGAGCATTTTTCTAGCCCGCATACTTCTCCTTATCCTTTAAGATTCAGCTCAAACATATCTCCACAGCAGAGCCTTCTAGGACTTTCTTACGGGCAGACTTAAGTAGTCTTTACTCCTGAGTATTCTGCATCTCATAATGAATCAATCTATCTATGTATCATTTTATTTTTCAAATCAAGAATCCTCTTGGAGTGTACTTTTTACTTTATTTATTATTGAATATATAGCTCCTCTTAAATAGTAGTTCAGTAAATGTTTGATGAATGACTCGATAAAATGTTTAATAATAAAATTATAAAAAAATTTATAGCTAAACAGTAAGTTCCACTTAATTTACCTCTGATCTGAGACTGGTATACTTTTATTGTGTAGATTACTTATCATTTTTCTGTTGTGCTTTATTAGCCACAGAATATATTATTGAGCAGCATTTACCCTCTTGGGGACATAAAAATTGTAGATTTTGGAATGTCTCGAAAAATCGGAAATGCATGTGAACTTCGGGAAATCATGGGAACGCCAGAATACTTGGGTAAGAATTTCCTTTTATTTTCTATACTGTTTGAGATTTATTAACTCTATGATACTTCGATAGAACTATATTTTAGAGCATGTAATTCCAGGATATATTTGGGTCAAGTATTTCAGTGCTTTCAAATTTGTTTATGACACATTTAAATGAACTGTGGTGAACTGTAATTCATACGACATTGGACATGTTACTTACAAGTTTAACGTTTGTGTGTAAAAGCTTTGTACATAAAGAAAAATAGGTAAAAGAGAAGTTAGGGAGCAGGAGAAAATGGGAAAAGAGGAAAACAGAATCGAATGGCCCATTAATTCCTGCATTTGAAGCCTGTTTGTTGGGTAGACATCACTTTTGCTTCTGTCCTGGTGAGGTTTTGCTGAGGGTTGTCAGAGGAGGATTTTAAAGAAGAAACATACCAAAAAGAACCAATGATTAGATACTCTAGGCATGTTGTACTAAGTCAACAAATTAGATCATGAGACGAAAGATTTTTAAGTTGTATGAAATAGCATATAAATTTAAAGCACTTTAATTTATGATAACGATCTTTTTACACTTTTTTGTTGTTGCTCATGTTGATATCCTCCTGTGGGATACAGGTGAACAGAACATGTGTCACTCAGCTGGGCAGCTGGCTTTCCTCAAAATGAGAAAGAAAGCAAAGTACTAACTTTTGAATGCTAATAGAGGCTGTAATGGCCTAGAATAAAGATTGTTATTACAGATAACACACTCACAGTATATGAGAAGGTGGCAGGTGGTGCAATGGAGGCTGACAATTATGTATGAAGCTTTGTTAATAAACCTGTTCGGCTTTAGGAAACAGTTTCTCTTTGGAGAAATTATGAAACCATACTGTGAAACAAAAAAGTTATTATTCAAGCATAGATCCTAGTTTAGACTCTACTAATTTGAAATTCATGGTAATGTTTATGAAGTATAGAGAATTTATGTTGCACTTAAAAAAAATTTGGCAGGGGAGGAGATGGTGGGAAACTAATTGCTTAAGAAACAAGGTTTTTGATAGTTCAAGAGAGATATTTAATCTATTTAAAAATCTACAACCCTTCCAGGAAGCATAATTTGCTCATAATGTCATTGTAAATGTATATGATTCTATTTACCCTGGGAAGAAAAACTTAAATTATTCTGATAAAATGACTCAAATCTAATTCCTAACAGAGTAATAAAACTAAAATTTTAAAAAGATTCTAGCTTCTTACATTTTACTTCTTCTTAAATTGTTTTTCCTGAGATTAATCTTAATGATTTAAAAATGCTTTATAGCTACTGGTTCCTCCAAGAATATAATTAGTGCTTTTGGTTATAAAATATAATTAGTGCATCTGGTTGTTAAATTTTCTCAATACTAGATACGTTTAAATGTCCAATCATAGGATAATTAATATGATGCAGAATTTCTATGGATTATGTTAGTAGTTCTTTAAAATTAAATCTAGTTTAATATAAAGTAATTTTCATCTTTTTAAATTCATCATTATTAAATTTGAATTTTATTTTCTCTTTTAGCTCCAGAAATCCTGAACTATGATCCTATTACCACAGCAACAGATATGTGGTAAGACTTTGTTAATTACTTAAATGCCTTTATTTAAAGCTGGTTAGTGTATATTCTAGGGTTCTTTGATTCCAAATGTAAATAATAACCCTTTCTTTAAGAGGTTTTATTCAAGAATCATTATTATGTCACAGGAAGACATTACCTGTCCGTTCTTTTTAAGTTACACTTTGGCTCTGAGCTAAAAGTATACGAATGAATAGGAGAACCCTTTTCTTGGAGGAAGACTCAATAAGTGAATGGAATAGTTGCAGAACTATGCTACATGTTCTATAATAAAGATGAAATGCTATTTAATAAGCGTGGCAGAAGCAGCAGACAAGTACCAGATGGGAGACATCTGACCCAGGTCTAGCAGAACTAGGAGGGTATTTGCTCAGCAGAGAAATGAGGTCAGATCCATGCAAAAGTTTAGTTTTATGAGAGTATCTCTCTAGGGTACTGTGAGTCTGTGTGGTCTGCACAGAGACTGGCGTACAGCAGATCTCAAATTGATACTGGAGCTTTAGTTGGGACCACAGTGGAGGACTGACTCCATAAGTCCAAGTGAATGAGTTTGGACTTATTCGCTGTGTTCCATGAATGGACTATAATGGGTTTGCTAAAGAAAAAGGGTCCTGTGGCTAAATAAGTGGGTGAAATAGGTGCTACATTTATTGTCTTTTTCTGGTTCCTGAGCACAGGACTTGTCATTAACGCTTTACGATTCTAAAAGTTTTGCAGTTAAAAAACAATCACCGCCTCCCTGCCCAATGCTATGCTTTGCCAAACCTGCAGACTCTATTTGCATGGAACTGTGTTCATGTCTCACAGATCAATACTATGTCATTGGACACCATTTGGGAAATGCTGCTCAAAGTAGCTCTGTGCACTTGGTACCAGGTGTTTGCGTGAAGGGCAGACTGTAGGCATAATGATACATATTTAATACATCATGATTACGTAAGTAACACACACGTGCACTCGCCTCACATTCTTTTTCTGTGAGGCAGACTTTGAGATAACACAATTATTTCAGTTTTAGTAGTATACTGTAGGAACTTTGAAAAGCAATTTAAATCTAGTTTAGCTATACAAGTTTTGAGGACAGGAATATGTTGAAAATCAATTTTACTTTATATAAATGTTTTAAGATGAACATACATTTTCAATTTCCATCTTCTCCCTTATTTATTTTTTCAGGAATGTTGGTGTAATAGCATATATGTTGTTAACTCATACATCCCCATTTGTGGGAGAAGATAATCAAGAAACATACCTCAATATTTCTCAAGTTAATGTAGATTATTCAGAAGAAACTTTTTCATCAGTTTCACAGCTGGCCACAGACTTTATCCAGAGCCTTTTAGTAAAAAATCCAGAGTAAGTAATAATATTAATTTGTTTAAATACTATTACAAAATAAATTATATATGTCTATTAAGAAAGATACATCCTAAGACAGTATAAAATTGTCAGAAGTATACTCTCAAATTTCAGGTAAAACGGGGACAGTATGAGAGAGATGGGGAAATATGAGAGATCATTAAGTAACAAATCGATAACTTCAAACATAGAAAATACAAAATATACAACAGGAAATCTTGGAGTGAAGAGATTTGGGTTTTTTCTTTCTCAACCTGCTACTAGTCTCTGAAATTCCCACCAAAATAATTAGAAATAGGTTTACAATACACCTGGCTGTTGATGATAAGACTTTGTTTTGAATGATTTGTGGTTAAATAACTATAATTATATAACAAGTCCAAATTACCAATTGTCAAATCTTTAAGGATCAGATACTCTTTGACTGCCTGCTAAAGAAGGGACCTGAAACTACGGCTTAGGACTCTTATGTCACCTGTTGACAACTTCAAAGCAGGAAAAGAAAAAGCTGACCTCTCTTTTCTTTACCGGGCTCAGCCCTGTTTACTTTAAAACAGCCTGGCTGTACATAATGCAGAAGCTGTGATATGGTGCCTGGGGCTGGCATCCTGGTTTTGTTACTTGTCAGGTCTTTTTTCTCTGCCAGTTACTTAATCTGCTAGAGGACTGTTTCCTTATCTGTTAAGGGGAAAACCTCATAGGTTTGTTAATTATTTTGTTGGCTTAATGCAAGGCTGAACAAACTCTCACTAGCTCTGTTGTGCACATGAATGATTATTTAGTAGACACAGTAATAATACTATTTGGTTTTGGTTACAAACAGTTTTCATTTTCTTAAATATTGTAACCTAGGTTCTAAGATTTCCATAATGAGCACCTTAGTTTTTTTACAGTCAGAGAAAAATGAGCACAAAAACAAAGACTAAGGACACATAGGTTCTAATGATAATGATGGTTGTGTTAAGGCGGAGTTCTGAGTACAGACAGGTGTTTTCCTTCCTTTTGAAATATTGTGATATTTGACCATATTGCTTTCACAAGAGAAAACAAAATTTTAAAACTCAAAATGTTGGATAAACATCATTGAATAGTAGCCTTTATTTTCAAGATTTAACAGCTATTGCTTCTTAAGATCATAAAATAATAGTCAAGATATAAATTATTTACATGTGTTTTCCTTCAAAGAGTTTGTAAACCCAAGAGTCTTCATAAGTTTGCTAATTTTTATTTGTGGGGCTAACATGCCAAGCTTTTTGACTAGTTAGTCTCATCTGCAAGCTCCATGATAAACTGAATTTTCAGCACATGTCAGAAGTAAAGAACCTCTAAGTACTCTAGTTTTTCTGTTACTGTTCCCTTCTGTACTGTGATTGTGTGTTATTTTCATAAAAAGTTAGTCTATAATATATCAAACTGCAGACATCTCCAAGTTGATTTTTAGTTCTCAATTTTCCCTTGGTCTTTTCTTTCAAAGGAAAAGACCGACAGCAGAAATCTGCCTTTCTCATTCTTGGCTGCAGCAGTGGGACTTTGGAAACTTGTTTCACCCTGAAGAAACTTCCAGTGCCTCTCAAAGTCCAGATCATACAATAAAGTCCTCTGAAGACAAGACTTCTAAAGCCTCTTGTAATGGAACCTGCAGTGACCGAGAAGACAAAGAGAACATCCCAGAGGATAGCAGCATGGTGTCCAAAAGATTTCGCTTTGATGACTCATTATCCAATCCCCATGAACTTGTTTCAGATTTGCTCTGTTAGCAGTTTTCTCTTTGACTCATTTGGACTGAATTTGGAATTTGAAATCCACTCCAGTGTGAGATTGTGATTTGTAGCTTCATTTACATGGCATGTTTATATTGTAAATGCATTTTGGCATAGAAGATTTTAAGGAAGTGTTTTAATGCTAAATTATTAGTTACTAGCATAATTTCATTTCCTATACTGAGATATCAAGAAAATATTGAAGAAAATATTTAAATATATGACAAAAAATAAAATTGTACATGTGAATTTACATGTTAATGAAGGAATTCAATTTCAAATGGATTTATCAAAATGTATTACATACCAGGAAAAAATTGATTTGGATTATATTATGGTTAATGTAAACTGAACAAAATGAACACATTTGAATTCAATAATTCTCTAAGGTAAGTCCTACACCATGCCTGTATTGACAGAACATTATTTAGGATAACAATGCCAAGTTTAAGTAAGAATATGTACTATTTTATAGATGCTCAAGAGATAGTATATACTTGAAAATGTTTTTCAGTCATGGATACTTTAAAGTTGCATAAGATTTCCATTACATATGGTCTACTATATGAGGTAGGTCCTTCAACCAGAGCAGAGAGGGAGTTAGAAATTGGATTAGGGACATCCTGTACAAGTTGAAGTGGAAAAAAAGAGCAGCATGGCATCGTTTTTAACCCATGTCTTTTGCCCACTCTCAGCTACTCAGATTTAACAAAGTCTAAGAGATGTATACACTTGTATACACTTGGTGTGCCAGTGTGGAGGATTTCCACCCTCCAGAATCTCTGGAGTAGAGGATACTTTGGTGAAACTGATTGTGCTCTGTTTTCTGACAGCCAAACATATTTATTAATTGAATGTAGAAGAAAGTCCTGACTGACTTACAGAGTTTACAGAGTTTTGGGTGTCTTCTAAGTCTTAGAATACAAGCTATCATCCAGAATTCTAGAAGTATGCATAAAATATATCATGGCACCCGTAGGACTATTAGCACAGTGCCCAAGTCAGCAGCAGCAAGGTGGATGTGATCATAAAAGAGGCTGACAGCAACTCTTCTTAAGTTCTTGTGTGAAATTGCTAGGGAGCTACGGCACTCAGCAGGATGTGCGGCACGGCCTTTGATGGTCTTTTGCCGGGACCAGTGCAGTAATCTTCCAGGAACAGCAGAATGTTTGATTGGTGGCTGGTGACTATGTTCAGTCCTCCAGCAGGGGTGGAATTGACTCCTTTTGGGTAATCTTTGATGACTTTCCACCTGGAGACTATTTAAAACTCTTATATTGTCATATTAAGATAATTGTAACTTCATGACCATGTTACTGTATTGAAAGAAATTAGGTTTTGTCAAAAGAAATCCTTGAGTTTTTCTTTTTCCCCTTTGAATTATATATGCCTCTAAAACCTGTATCTTCTTAAAATTTGTTAAGACTCCAGATAACTTAAAACTTTTTAATAACCATGAGGTCACTTTATTTGGGTAAATGGTGAATTCCTTTTACATCTTCATTTCTTAAAGGAAAAATTATCTCTGTTTGTGCATATGTGTATATGTATTTGTATAGATGTATGTATATATGTATCGAGATAAAATATAGTCCTTAGACAACTTTCTCTTAGAGTTCTTCCCTCCAGTATATTGTACTCAACTCAGGTGCCAAAGGAGCTCTCTTCTTAAAACGTGTAAATATACATTTAAATTCTGTAAGAAGTAGTTTATTGGTTCAATAAACTAGTCATTGTAGAAGCTAAATTGGGCTCTTGTATATCTAAAACAGATGAGTTTTTTTCCTAAACTGTTGCTTGTTCATTTATTTGCCTTCAGTATTAAGCTAATGCAGGTAAAGCTTAGTAGGCCAGCCTTTGGAAAAAGAGGAAATTATTGCTTTTACAAAGACCATATTATTTTTTTAAATTTCTGAATGAATTATGCCATACTGAAAAACAAAAATCAAAAAATGTTTCAATTTTAAATTATAAACTGTTTCTTTAAAAATATTTCATACTCGTTTTCTTTTACTCTGAGGAATCTTAAAATAGTTTATCTGCTTCCCCTTAGTTAATAGAATACACAGGATTGTAAGTTTCCATACCTCTTATCCTAATAATTTTTATTGTAAAAAAGGAACTAGTGGTTGCACAAACAGTATAAGTCCATTTTTCCATAAAGGTGAAGTTATTTTCTGTGATTGAAATATGAAAATAATGTTTAGAGAGAACTTATTAACGTGTGACTCAATTCTTACTCTTTTTCCTCCCGAGATTGGAAACAAATGTCTATCAAAAGTAGATGGCATATCAGTCACGTGAGAATATGGAGAGCCCCTCTGAGGCAAATAAATGTCTGTAACACATCTGAGGATTAATGTCAAATTGTGCTGAGTTTAAAAAACTTTAATTTGCTTTTTGGATAGGATCTCTGGATAGATAGAATTAAAAATAGATGAGGTATAGATAACAGTTATAACTGTCATTTTAATTTTTTTTTCCCCACAGTAAATTTAACCTAACTGAGCAGTACAATTATAATGGTAATGTAGAGAAGTCAGCAGTACCTGTTCTCCAGTTTGTGAGGAGATAAGGCACCTGTGCCAGAATATGAATCAATATGTTGCTTCCTTTATCAAGAAAGTCTCGTAAAAAAAAAGTCAGCCGGTTAGTGACACAGTTATTTTCATTCTGCAACAAAAACTCTTTCTTTCATTGGATGGGTCATAAATAGTTCATGGGCCATACTTGGAACAGCCTTGCTCTAAGCAGCATTTGTAACTGTTGATATTTTATAACTGTTTACATTTCCTCTGTTTATTTTTGAATTTTCAGTTTGATATCTGACTTGGAAACTTGTCCTTATTCATTGTTGTGTAAACAATTGTACTTTAATTTAAAATTGTATTAAAATTATCTGACTTCCCACTTGGGGAATTACTATCAGTTTATAAGTTTATCAAAGTTTAAAGAACTTTAAACTCAATGATAAATTTCACACAAATTCCAACTGCCCTCCATCTTAGCTTTTATTCAATAATCATGTTTAGACCTATTGACCTACATTGTTATGAATACTCCGGTTTAAAAAAAAAAATCTTATTACGTCAACTTAATGATCCTTTTGGTTAAAAATTAAAAAGCACTTTTTTACATTGGTGGTTGTCTCGCTTTAAATTATTTATAAATTTGTTATGCTTAAAAGCAAACCTCTTTGCCTGGAGGCTCTGTCCTTCAACCCACATCATCTTTGAACTCCCTTTCCAACACAGGTATGTTGATTAGATCTTGTCTGCTGGAGAAGACACATACATTTGGAAACAAGAAGGTCTAGTCTCTTCTTGTAAGTAATAACCGAGACTTTTAGAAAATGTCAGTGAATGGCAGTGCACTCACTACATGTTGCATAAAGGTGAATAAGAGATTCTTACCCACCCAGAAATGGGTAAACTGGTTTTGTTTTAGGTTAAATACATTGAATTAAAAAAAAAGATCAATAAGGAATTCTTCAAGAAGTGTATAGTCTGGTTGTGGACTAAGGTTCAATCAATTCTCATTATTTATAGTAGTCACGTTCTATAAAGTTTGCACAAAGAAACAGTGAATACTCAAGCATCGCTCCTACAGGAAATACAGGCATACGTGACTGTAAGCTTCTGTTCATAACATTTTTGTCAACTGATCAATAGATAATTTTATGTGTGTTTCTGTTTCATGTGTGTTGTTGATTCACTAGCATTGAACTCAGCTAACAGCATTGTAACTCATACCTGCACGAAACTTAATCTGTTTTCTCCATAGGCACATTACAGCCTTGTGCATAGGGACACTAACTACATAGCATTTCAGAACCATGCTTTGGGGCCATTTTAAACAGTGAAATCACCAACAAAAAGCAGATAACATGATACTAAATAGACCACATAAAGGACATTTGTCTCATAGTGTGACAGCTGACGTAAGAAGGCAGAGCCTCACCCACTCTCAGCTGGGAATATGTATGTCAGGCAACTCAGATTTTTCACCACTGTGAACATGTCTGCAAATCACTGTGAAAGCACCAGGTGTGTTGATTTGCGTTTCTAAGTACATTTTAGCAAATAGGTAAATTTGCAACTATGGAGTCTGTGAACATTGAGGGTCAACTGTACATGCTAAAATCACATAAGAAGTAGGAAGTGTAATTAGAAATGGTGTGCAGATTAGACAATTCACAGGAAAGAGAAATTGATATATGTTGGAACTTTTTAATTGTGAGCACTTTCAGGTTTCATCATATTTTTCTGGCACATAGGCATTCCCCAGTTTTTCCTTTTAGCCCCAGTTTTTCTCCAGGACATTGAAGTTATATGTATTATCTTTATTTGGATAGAAGTATCTCAGACGTAAAGTAGCTCTAACTCTAAGTAAAATCATGAACATATTCTCCCTTTCTGTAATCATCTCCTCACTCTAACTTTCTGGCTTCATGTTACCTTCCTTAGTTAACAAAGCACTATTTACCAACACATCACAACTGGAAATCTCTAGGTGTCATTCTAAAAATTTTGTTTACTGCACCTCTTTCAGTTAGTCATTAATTTCTATCAATGACATCTCTTTATAGATCCCATAGTCATTTCCCCCTTGATTCTTACTGGCACATGGTCTTTGATCTAGATCTAGATTATCTACATCATCTAGAAAAGGGTTGGCAAACTTTTTCTCTAAAGAGCCTTTTCTATATATTTATAATATATACAAACATTTTAGGCTTTGCAGACCTGACGATGTCTTGTCACAACTACTTAATTCTGCTTTTGGAGACAATATGCAAAGGAATAGGTGCTGCTTCCATCATCTTGTAACTGTGAAGAAATGGACAAGGGAATCCTGGAGATGTTGACGCTGACGTCAATGTCCCAAGTAATGGTGGCTGACATCTTCTTGATTTTTCTGTCTGTGATTTTCAAAAATGCCCTGTTAGTTGAAGCCACTCTCTTTTGGGTTTTCTATTATTTGCAGCTGAAAGTATCTTAACTGACAGAATCATCAATGTTTTCCAAACTCACATTTCTCATAATGTCATTAGATGTGTGGCAAAGAAAGTATGTATATCCATTTATATTTTAGAAATACCATGTTCAACAGTGTTAAAGATGAATTTTTACTGTAGGATTCCTTAGAGGCTTTAATTTCTATTGGGAACCTCCAAGCGAGGAACCCAATATGTACTTTGTCTTATGATGACTGACCACGCTAACATCTCTCTGGATAGTTACTGAGAAAACACTGTACTAAAGATACCAAAGCAATGTGGTCCAAAGATTTCTACAGATCTGGATTCGCCAGGAATAGAATTCAAGTTATGTGAGAATCCGCTCATGTATTGGAGAAGGAACTTGAAAGGGCATGTTCCTAACTTTTGATCCAAGTAAGACCATTTGCATTAGCTCTCTTTATAGTGCTTACTATAAACTTCATACTTTTATTAGAAGTCAATAAACACACTCTGATTCTCAATATCTTTGAAAATGGGTAGACTACGTAGCAGCCTTCCCAGTGGCAGAACTCCCAGTGTGCTCCTGCTTACTGGTGGTCAGCAAAGAAAAAAGATGGAAATGTCCTGTGGCCTCCTAGGCGCTCCATGAGTAGGAAGAGAAAGAAACAAGGACTAACAGTTGATGACTGAAAAAGTTAAGGAATGCAGAAATAATGAAAGGGCAGTCAAGCAGAGAAATAATCATAACTTAAACAATAAATCAGCCCCAAGGACTTCCAGCTCTGTCTCAAAGGTGAATTCTAATGCACAATCCTCAGGGATTTTTGCAGAAACCATACCCCAACCAGATAGAGAGTGGTACCATGAACTTGTATCCCCCTAGACTGGTTGGAGCCTGAAGATTGATAGTGTTAACCCCTGTGACCTCACCTAGTTACCTCACCACTCATCATTCAGAAAACTGTACATGCGCTGATCACATTCCCCATGACCCTCTCCGTCACTTTATCAGTGGGAGGTTGGGGTCTGTTGAGCATTAGCTGCCCATACTCCTTGTCTGATGCCTTGTGGTAAATGCTCTATTTTCCTTCATCACAGTAAGATGTCAATAGGTTGGTTTTGCTGTGTGTTGGGCCAGGGGACCCAAGTTTGGTTTGGCAATGTCTTGAAGATGTTTCCTTGATAGAAAGCCATTGGCATGACTTTCCGCTGGGTACTCTCAGCCTGGTCATGCCTTGGCTTCCAGAACCAGCAGGCTGTACTCTCCTGCTCCTTCATCTCTATCATTTTAATTCATTTGTAATATATTCCACACCTAAAAGTAAAGGCCTTATAACAAATGTGTCCCCAGAAACAGAACCAACAGGATACAGAGCAAGATACATTAGAGGAGATTTACTATAGGGAATGGCCCATGTGATCATGGAGGCTGAGAAGCTCCACCATCTGCCATCTGCCATCTTCCATCTGCGAGCTGGAGAACTAGGAAAGCTGGGGTATAATTCCAGTCCAAGTCTGGAGCCTGCAAACCAGGCAGTGAGGAGCCAACAGTGAAGTCTCAGTCTAGGTCTGAAGCCCAGAAAACCAGGAAGGCCAGCGTTGAGGGCAGGAGACGATGGCTGTCTCAGCTCAAGTAAAGAGGGCAAATTATCCTTTCCTCTGCCTTTTTGTTTTATGCAGGCCCTCAACTGATTGGATGATATGTCCACCCGCACTGGTAAAGGTGCTCTTTATTCAATCTACCAATTCAAATGCTAATCTCTTCCAGAAAAGCCCTCACTGACACACCCAGAACTAATGTTTCTCTGGGCATCCCTTAGCCCTGTTAAGTTGACACATGAAATTAACCACCATGGGTCTTTCTGTATCTTCTGACTTCTTCCTCATTTTATCAAAGCTTTCCCATAAGGATACAGAAGTTCCAAACTTTTCCTGTGAATGTACTTTACTCACTACAGCTGCACACACACACACACACATTTTTCTACCTTCTTGTTATATGGAAAAGTAAAAGTTTTACTTATAGGAAACAAATATCTTTCAGCTTATTGAAATCAATTAAGTCTTTTCCTTTAAAATATATTACTAAAGAAGTTGTTCAAGAAACTCTCTAATGCACAAGTGTGGGTGCAAGTGTGGTCCAAATCAAATGAATAACCTCTTACATTTAGGTCCTATGCCAACCCTATGCTGTGGTCAACTTTCAGAATAAGCAAAAAATAGGGGATTGTTTTATAATTAGTCTGAAGGATTCTGCCCTCTGTGGTTCACCACTGGAATTTAAATTTAGTGATTGTAATACCCCTTTGAAAGGCCAAAGAAAGATATGTGCTAATTATACCAATATTTCTAGCCAGAGCATAAAATGCAAGAGGGTCACCAGTTACAGATACAATTGTAAGTTGTACACTCACTCTAGTTATACTGAACAGTAAGTGCAATATGTATGTGGAGGAAATTATAAGATATAATTACTGAACAAAGAAAACAATAGATTCTCCATGACATAGAAGGCATATCTATCTTCCCCTATAAAATCAATCAGAATGAATAAATTAGAGGTTCCTTATTATCATTGAATTAATGGCCTATATAAAGTCAAATTTTAGAGATGAAACATTGTGATTTGTTTCTTCCTTTGAGAGAAGTTGTTAGCCCAATTTATTAAGAACGTGATTGGTTTTTTAATTGAGTTTTGCACAAAAAGGCTTCTGAAATAAATGAATATGTAAGTAATCACAGACTAAAGACCATTGAAAGCAAGTTATAAAGGGAGAAAAAGAGCTGAGCCATTTATTTAGAGGCCTTTTTGGCCACTTTAACCTGTGTGAACATCAATTACTTCTTTCTTTCACAAAACAGCAGTAATCAGCTGTTTGCTTCTTTGATTAGTTCTGGTCCTAATTCATTTAATACTAATGATTAAGCATGGGATACTGCAAATAAACCTGTCTCCTTTCCTCCCAGAAACAGAATAATTACAATGGCCAATGGCTGGAGCCATTTATATCACTAAATTTGTAAGAGACTTAATTACCTTGGCTTTGCTCCAGGGTCCCAAACAACTCACACAAATAGTCCACAACACTGTATCAAAGCATCAGTTTAATTTTGGAGGTCTTTATAGTATGTGTTTTTAAAACGGGTGTTTGTGTGTCTATATAAATATACTGCCTG